TTGGTCTCATCCTAGCATGCATACTAAACAATAATCATATTATTTCTAACATGCATGCTAATATTAATCTTATAACTTACATACATCTCATGCATGACTAAAAAACCGAGTGAATGATAATAGATTTCTAGTACTAGCCGCCTCGAGCCACAAGGAGACTGATTGGTCAATTTCTAGGGGAAAAATTATTATAAATTCTTCATGAATTTCTTCATTCCTTGGTATCTTTTCTTTATATCTATTCTAATTCTTATCTTCTACTTTTACATTTATTTGACATAAGAAACCTCAAGTTACGTTCGAGGGAAGTAAGATAAAAAGAGAAATACAATAGAATAATAGAAAAGGCGTAATATACGAGTCCTATTTATCCAAAAAAAATTACAAACATTCACTTATAAAACTAGGTCGACTCATCCATACCATTCACCTATGCTTCAATCACATTGATACATGGCATACTAATGAAACACATTTCAATCATAGAATAATTATAAATCTATGGTTTTGGTCATTTTATAAATTTATCATATTTTATCTAAATTTTAATTTTAAAATGTTTTTAGGCCTCGGGTTTCATGGGATTTGAAGCCCAAACCCTTGGGTTTGTATGCTCGTGCGTGCTCGCCCGCGATCGTCAACCTAGTGCGAAAGCACTCGCGCAGTGGCCTACTAGGTGGCCCGTACGTTGGTAGGCTAGCATGCCCGTCCGTTGTGCGTCTAGAGCGTAGCCCGGTAGGCCAACGGGTCGGCTTGTCGCCCGCCTAGCATGTGAGTTGGTAGGAAAGCACACTTGCTCGTCGTGCACTTAGTGCATAGTAGTCGGTAAGGCTATCGCTCATGCGAGTATCGACATCTAACATGAACCTCACGTGCCCCTACCGATTTTGACCCAAAATTCGGTTTCATATTTATATAAAATACCAAAAATATAAGATTTATAATCGGACATAGCTAATTCATGTAGTTAATCATAATTAATAAAACGTACAATCAAAGATTTAACGAGTGGCTCGATACCAATTGAAGGATCATGCATCCTATAGAGGTGCGGAATAAACAAAAAAAAATTTCCTCTATCTAAGGGCCTAAAATCAAGCCATTGAATCTACTAACCATACATGGATGAATGTAAAACAATGAATAAGAATTACCTCTTGAAGCGCGAGATCTAAATTCTTTTATCGAAAAGTCGTCTACGTGTCCAACTCTCATTGATGATTCATATAGTCCAATTATCCATAAAGAAGCACTCAAAATCGATAGGGTGTTAGCTCCATTTTTTTCTGATTTGTGTGGTATTTCCTATAGAAATCTAAACTAGGTAATTTTGCGATAACTTTAAATGAGAAGGAAAGAGTGTGGAGTGTTAGGGTTTTGGAGAAAACTATTTTCTCCTTTTTTTTTATCGTGTGCCCTAATGGCCTTTTTCTAGTTCCGACCAAATTTTCTTTCCCCAATAATTCACTTTTTATGCCGCACCTCACCTCCTATTTATAAAGGGAGAGTTTTCTTGTCCTCAAATAACAAAGAGTTATTTTTACATATGGACTTTTTTATCTTTATCTTTAAAACATTCATCCTTATCTAATAAGGTTGATGTTTATCCTCCCACCAAAATATCTTAAGGCTTTTAATTAAACCTAATGGGCCAAAGCCATTTTAGCCCAATTAATTTATTTGAACTATCCAAATAAATAATCTTAGATTATTTTTGGCGAGTCCACATTAGGAAATAATTTTCTAAAATACCCTTTAACCTAAATTAAAAAATTCGTTTTCATTTTAGGTTATTTATTTTCAAATTTGAAACTAACTTTCAAATTAGGAAACTGATATCTAAAATAGAAAACTTTCCATTTAAGGAAACTTTCCATTTTGGAAATCATTTCCAAAACGAGAAAACTTTCATAATTGGAAACTTTTTCTCATAATTTTTGCTTCTCATTTATAATGTGAATACTTAAACTTATGCGTGGCACTCAATAGGCTCCTTTATATGTTGGCAATGTATCAATAATAAAAAAACTCTTCTTTTATCTCTTGATACATAAATGAAGATTGGCGTCTAACAAGACATTATGACAACTCAATTTTTTAGGAGGATTAATTAATCCATTATTACCTTTCACGAGCATAGTTACCATATAATTCAATCCTCATGTCAACTTATCACATTGTGATCTCGAACTTGGTTATAAGTCTTGTTCGATTATGATTACACAAGTTTTTTTTTATTCCTAAATGTCTTAGCTCTTAGAGTATACCAATTATGCTCTATTGGTATACTCCTACCGTGGCTACATATTTCTCGAGTGGATATTTATCGAAGTGCAATATGATAACTCCTTTAGGATACAAGGAATGATATGTCCGATTTTAATCATACATCTATCTCCATTAGATTTCTAGTGCACCCAACGAATCACCCAAGTGCAAACCTTTAATGGGTCCATCGAAACGAGTGTCAAAATGCATAAGTCCTTTAATGAGACAATCGCAATGACTTCAAGATTAAGGACCATTTATACCTATCTCGTATGAGATTCTCATTAGCTAAAATCAAATAGGTTCTCGTGGCGAGTTAAGTCCAGGTGATATGTTTTCTAAAATGAATCACCTAAGTACTTGCTTTGGCATCACTATGTCAATAGATGTGAGATCTCTTACTGCTATGATATAACATGAGCATAACACTCATAAGTCTATTCGCATATAATCAATGTCAATTCTTGACAATGTTATGATTTGAGATATTTAATGATATCATTTATATGAATTAGTATTTATCTTACATCTTTCGATCAATCACTATTGCAAAATACATATCATAAGAACTTCTATTTAATTATACTAAATTTACAAATATAAAACACAAAAATTAATAGAATAATTTCTTTATTATTATTATTAAAATAAATAATGCAATAATACATTAACTCAAGCTCATCCAAACGTGATTGGATTTTAGACACCTACACTAACAGCTTTTGGTCGTTGAAATCTAAGAAACTCGTCGATCCCACATCATACGAGATGGCAATTAAATCATACAATTAATCCATAAAATTACCCATAAATAAATAAATAAATTACAATTAAATGCTAAGCAATCTCCAAAAATTCTAAAATTTAAAATATAGGTCAAGATTAGGTAAATTTACAAGGCATAAAAAAATTCAAACCAAATTATCAATGATAGCCATGTCAAATAAATAAATCCCAAAACAACCCTTAAACATAGTATCTTTGTCAATTTAGCCCTTAAACATAAGTCGGGGATACAATTGCAACTATCAATTATTATTAAGTACTAAATTGAAAAAACTTAGTAATATCAAGGACCAAATCCTTAAACTAGATCTAAACCCCCAAACTTGCGTGGAAGACATATTTAGTCTTTAAATAATTTGATAGTTGAGATTGAATTCTATTCTAAAAACTTAAGTCTTATGGTAGGTGATACTTTTTCAAATTTTTATATTTATGATCTTTGGTTTAACTATTTAATATGAGATATATTTTTAACACTCTTTCTCACTTGCAGTCCATCTTTTGGGATTTGTTAAGTGGTTTGAGCTCTACAATCTTTACTTGGATTGTTACACCTCTTTGAAGCTTTGATACCATATAGAATTAGATAGTTAGGATTGATTTTCATCCAAAAAAATTTAAACCTTATGATAAGTAGTCTTTTTTTAATTTTATATGTCAATAATTTTTTGTTTAATTATTCAATGTATGATACATGCTGTAATAATCTTTAAACCTTACTTTTTCTTTCAGTGTTTTTCTTCTCCCTTTTCTTCCTAAAACACAATACCATATTCATCTCCAATTCGTTCATTCCTGTCGCCCCTCTATCTAAATTTATTTCGTTTTTCTTTCTTCCCCATTTTTTACATCAACAACTGCCCCTCTTCTCTTCCTCTCCTCTCTTCTCTCTTTTCTTCCTGCCACTGCAACTATCTTCCCTTCTCTTCCGCTTTTCTTTTTTCATTTTTTCTTCTCTTTTTTCTTTCCTAAACAAATGGATCCCATTCCTCCTCATTTCTTTTTTCTCTCTCTCTCTCTCTCTCTCTCTCTTCCCTTACCGCTACTACAACTGCCGTCCCTTTTTTTCTTTTCTTTTGTTTTGATAGAAATATTCGTGGCTGCATGCCAAGTATCCATAGACTGAAGGGTATATAATCATTCAATCAAACCGAACAAAAAAAGTGAAAAAAAAAAAAGAATTATCATAAATAAAAAACAAAACTTCCATGATCATTATTCTGATTTAACAATAACAGATACATTGATGCTGAAAAGAGTAACACAGTAAAGGAGGCAGATATACCTGTTAAAGAGCAGAGGTTAGGAAGATAGCAATGGAGACTTAAATAACCAACAAACTTATTCCCTCTCTTTCAGTTTTTCTTATACCTTTTTTTTTTTACACTGGATTTTCTCTTAAAACTGAACTCCCCTCCTCCTCCTCCTCCTCCTCTCAACTCTATTCTATTTCCTCGTCTATCTTTTTTCTTCCCTCTAAAAAAAAACTTTTTTTTCTTTACTGTCCCAGCCTCCCTATTTAAAGACTTTGAGCTTGGCTTTTGTATTTCTCTTCCCTCTCTCTTGGCCATCTATTTTTTGTTTTGGAAATCCTGGCCCGTCATTCAAATTACTAGAGAGGCTCTTCCTTGATTTTTTTTTGGAGTATTAGCAGAGAGGGAAGTGTAGGATATAAGGATAGCTGGCTGGGCCGGAGAGATTTTTTTGGGTCGTACGAATGCGAGCACGTTGAGGTTTCTTGGGGTATTGGCAGAATTAGCTTGAAATTCTCGGCCTGAAGCTCACGTGGACATTCCTGTGTCAATCTGTTCTAATTGAAAAAAACTCGATCTGGAGTTTGAGGCTTCCTTTCGTCAGTCTTATGGAAGTCCAACTAAGTCTGTCCAGCCTAACCCATGTTCTTTCCCCAAACTCATGTAGATTTTAATTTAGTCTCCTGCATGCATCTAGTGGGAATTTAACCCTAACGGACTTTTCTTTCTCAAAAAACTGTCTCGAATTTGCGCAGAAGACTTAAGGTTTCTGCATCTGTTTATCTGTGGCTTCTTTGATGGCATATATAAATCAATTTCTTTAATCATGTTCTCTTTCACACATGTATTACCACCACGTAGACTCACGTTGAAAAGGAACCTGTTGTTTTCAAGAGCAGTAGTAGAGTGAAAAGGTAGCTCATTCTTCAGCCTCCATCTGCTCATATTTTGTAGAAGCATGATTTCTTCATCTGCAACATTCTTTTCTCCTTGTACAACCAGCCATCGATCTGTTTAGAAAGATTACTTTCTTTAATTTCCATGCATGCCTTTGTTTCTGGGTCGATTTGTGGCAGATGAACAAGTTCACATCCCTCGACAACAGAATGTACGTACGTAGAAAACAACCTTTGCAGCTAGCTGTAAAGTTTTTGCTCTCTGGTAGCTCATGGATTGGCAACAGAGCATCAAATTCTGTGACTATGATCAAGCAGCTCCAACAAGCTGCTGTTATGAAATTCCAGCAATCACTTCCCCTGTTCCTCAATCCAGACTTGATCTAAGGCTGATAATGTAAGCTTCTTCCTCACACTCAACTCAATCCTCTGGTTCGAACAGTCTGCATTCTCTCCCCTTTCTTGTTTTTCGAGACCTCTGCAGTTCACTGCGTAGCAATCCTCACGCCCTTTGTGGAAGATTTGTGCATCCAATCCATGCTTGTATATATTAATTCTTGCAATCTTGAGCTGCAGGTTGCACGACCTTCTCTTTTTGCCGTGGATAGCAGCTCTCCTTTGGGCATGCATGGAATTTCGATGTGAAGGACGTCGATCTGTACTTGCTCTTCTTTTTGTTGATAAGGTTTTGGGTCCAATTGCAAACAAGACATTCTTTTATTATGAATTTTAATTTCTTCATATCAAATACACACATAAATATAGATCGATATCATGATTGTATGAATATTTGTATTTGCATATATAAATTTGTTGAATAAAATATAATTATTATATAAAGTTACAATAAAGATAATTTAATTATAAAATGACATATAAATTTTATAATTATCATTTATTTGATTTGATAATGGTAAGTAATTTTAATTGTTATGTATTTTTTTTAATAATTTATTCGGCTTCGGTATAGCTTGCAAAGAAAACATTATCAATTTTTTTTTTAATTGTCTTTCAAGAGCCAGTTTAATTTTTTTTTTCAAATTTTATTTTATTCAACTATAAAATTTATATATACACGTAAATGAATTTAATCAATCAAAATATTTAACATAATATATTAAAAAAATGTGTTTGATTATGAAAAAATAAAAGCAGGAAAAATATAAATTATTTGGATTTTTTTTTTATGAATTGAATAAAAAAATCAATTTATTTTCTTAGGAGTTAATCGGAATTTAGTCCCTATAATTTATTGAAACTAATTAGTTAATCCTCTGGACGTCGTTCCATCCTCAATTTAGTGGTTTTTTTATTGCAAAAAAAAAAAAATGCCTTCTCACTTCATAAAAATTTTCATTTATATACTTCTCCTTTTTTTTTTTTTTTTTTTTTGTAAAATGGAAAAAGTTGACAAAATAATTAAGTTATTTTAAATATGTGATTTTATAAAACTATGAATACTAATATATTAGTTTGAGTAAACTTCACTAAACTATAGAGACTAAATCATAATAAACTCTTTTCTTAGTCATATTTTTGAAATTATATAAATTCAATCTTATGATAAGGAAAATTGATTGAGACCAAAGATAATACATGTTGTCAAGAGCTTGAAAGTTGGTGAGTAATATGTTAATGAGAATATAGATTGAGGACTGATTTGTAGTTATCCAAACTAGACATAAGCTTGACGTCAAGCGTAGACATGAATATAGAAAGACTTGGAGGCGTACGTGTCGTTTAAATAAAGAGATTAGAACAGTTTTGTAGAGACGAGAGAATATGTGACAGCGGTCCGTTTTCAGTGAAAAAACGCGGGTTAAAATAAAAGAAAAGAAAAGAGAGAGAAAGAAAAGGAGGGGTGTCTGGTTTTGGATCGTTGGTTGGTTGGTTTTTATTCTTCCTTCAGTTTTTGTGGAGAGGAGGACACTACGCCCTCTTTTTCTCTCTTTCTCTTTCTCTCTCTAACCAAAGAAAGAAAGGGAAAAAAATAAAAATAAACAAAATAAATAATAATAATAAAAATCAAACTCTCCCTTTCTCTCTCTTAAAACACACACACCCTCGCTAAAATTCAACCCCAAAAAAAAAAATTAATAATAATAATAATTTAAAAATATTCTTGGGTTTGATAGAGTGACAACCTTTTGTGTTTTTTTGTTGGAATGGGAATTCCGGCAAAGAATGGTAAAGTGTCAATTTCGTAGTATAGAAATAAAGAGAGAATGATCAGAGTAAGAAATGGATTTTGATGCCGGAATTCCGATGTCTCGTGGTGGTGGTGGTGGTCTACCAGCTGTGACCGAAGGAACTTCTCTGTCACGGTCCTTAAGTGAAGGTTCTCATGCTTTTAGTTCTCTCTGTTTTTTGTTTTTAAATTAATAATGAAAAGTATAGAATTTGGTTTGTTTGTTGTTTCTGGTTTCGTTTTGGTCATTTTGGAAATAAAATTCATGCAGAAGAGAAGGAGAGAAAGAATGAAATGCAATTCACGTGTTGCCTGCCTTGGAGGCGTTAGTTAAAAATGTTTGGAAATTCTCTGTTTTACCCTTTTTCTGTCGTAAATTTTGCTTGATCGTGTCTGAATTTGTTCAATTCCAGCTCCTTTCTGTCTTAATGTCATAGGTTACGCTTTTGCTTTTGTTGTTCTTTTGAATCTTGTTGGAATTCTGGTTTTTGTCGGCGCTGATTCTGAATTTTGCCTCTGTTTTAGTCACTGTAACTATGTCTATGCTTTGTTTTGTTCTTTTAATGTTTAACGTTTTGCATTTGATGTAATGAATAACAACAATTTGAACTGTCCAAGAATCTAACAATTGTGTGGAAATTCTGCTGGGAGATAGAAACTTTCTTAATTATTTCTGTCCTTGAGGCACAAATTTAGCTTCTTCCTTTTCACTTTTTTTTTTTTACCCTCTTCTTTTCTAATTGTTATGCAAAATCCCAAGTATTTATAATCCCTTACAGAAAAAGTTTCAATTTTCTCCATTTTGGACCCTTTTCTTTCTAATTGAAGCAACTCTGCATATATACAGACAGGAAAAACAGAATTTTAGAGATCATAGGAGGAGATCTTGGAGAAAATGAATGTTGGGAAATCATTCTCCGTTTCTTTTTGACGAAGATTTCTCATAGATGTTTGAACTCAGTTATCCAGTTTCATTTCAGATGCAATGTGGCAAATGAACCTGAGATCAAGTGAAACAATGGAAGCTGGGCCATATCCTGAGCGCCCTGGAGAGCCTGATTGTTCTTATTACATAAGAACAGGCCTCTGTAGATTTGGGGCTACATGCCGATTTAACCATCCTCCTAATCGGAAGCTGGTATGAACTGTAGTGTTCTTGGAATGCAAAAACTATAATTTTATTACATTTTCAATTAAATTCTTAGCTAGAATCGATGAAGGCAATTGAACTGAGCACCTGGGTCTTTGCAGATTGTGGTTTTAGTCTTATTGTTATAGAAATGTTTTAGAATTATTGCATGTATTGCTATTTGGTTGTTTACAATTGAACATAGTCAACTATACATACTTAACTGTACTTATATGCTGGTTTCATTGGTTATATTAGCAAATAATGTTTTTGGATGTAGTATGCCTCTCAAAACTGATTCACTGGTAAGTTTAAGCAAAATGCATGAGTTGTTTCTAATTAGGGAAGTAGTCAACTTCCTAAAAAAGCTTTCTGAACTCCTGTGCTGCATATTTGTTTGCTTTTCCGTTGTCAGTCTATCACACATCCACACACCTAGCTGTGCATGTGTTTCTTTGTTTGATTGAATGCAGATATATCCAATACTGGTATGGTTGGATGTAGGAAGGAAGTGATGTCTATGTATCAAAATATTATGTTCCCGTATGCATATATTGGAGAGGATCCAAATGCTGACCTGCATGTAGATGCACAATTGCAATGCCTGCTTTGGCATGCTCATTTTCACTTAGCATTTTTAATTTTTACATTTCCTTGTTAGACTAAAAAATCATTTGGATTGATTTTTTGAACTAAGATCATTTGAGTTCTAGGCTATTGCAGCGGCCAGGATGAAGGGGGAATTTCCAGAAAGATTAGGACAGCCAGAATGCCAGGTATGTTCCATCATCTGTGTCAACTGTTCCTGAGCTTGTTTTATGTTGACTTCATTTTCAAATTTACCATTGTCATGAACTCTGTCATTTATTTTACCATGAGGATCTAATATCAGAAAATTGTATTTGTTCCTGTCATAATTGTAAAGAAAAAGGGAATTGATCTGATTCCTACCACTGTATCACCATTATATGGATTTCTCATTTTGACTCAAAAGAAGTTTTACTCAGATAAATATTGCATTCAACAAGTGAAATGCCTGAAGGATATGTGCTCCTTCAAATAAAACACGAATGTTTGTTTTTGACTTTCAAATTTATATAAATAATTTTCTTAAATAATGTTCAAATATTTTATATTGCAATGCATTTGTATATTAGTTATCCTGCATTTTCAACAGATGGCAACACATGCATTACCAGTAGCTGTTAATGCTATTTTTCAGATTGTAGGCTTAGGGTGTCAATGCATGATTGTTGGCTAGAAGTTTCTGAATCTTTTCGCTTATGGTGAAATGCCCTTGTGATACATTAAATATGTTGGCTTTTCTGCCGAGAATGACAATTTTCCCATTGTCGTCATTTTTTGTTTTCATCACTGCATAGTTCATATATATATATATATAATACATATATACATATATATAATACGTTTTATGAATTAATAGGCTTCCATAGACATTATGTTAAAAAGGTATCTGTCGACAATGTGGTAAAACTTTTCAGTATGAGGTAGTTGTGTAGTCCTTATAAAGTAGGAAAATAACATATAGATAGAAGCATCGGATTTGTGTATTGAGAAGAGAAGTTTTGAACATTTTGAACATTCTTATTTAGATTGCTCTTAATTTCTCATTGGAACTGATTGCCTTTGTTTTTGTTGAAAGCCAAAAGGGTGCTATTGTGAGTTTTTGAATTGCTCCAAATTGAAACATTAATCATGGTTCCTGTAAATGGAATTTTAGAATGAGATGCTATTGACCGCAGAGGAGGGACAGTATTTATATCAAAGTTAAGATATTCACTAAATTAATGGAATTCTGATTGCTACAGTAGTCATCTTAGTTGCAGTTTTCACTAAAATAGTGCAACTGGAGACAGAATTTCTGTCAGCTCCTGAAAAGCTATAAGATTGGGGGAATGATAGTTGTCTTAGTGGGAAACGACTATTTAGTAATCTTCAGTTCTCTTTTTGTAAAAAAACTAGCTGTCTGGTAGAGCTTATTCAATAAAATTATTATGATGACTCCTCACATTAGGTGAATCTTTTGATGTAGTTCACACTATTCTGATGTGAATCTTTTGATGCAATTCATTAGGTGTAATCCTCCCATACCCTCCTCACATTTTTTAATTTTTGTTATTAACTGTAAATGTGGACGTGAAATTTCTTTTCTGCAGCTTTAAATGTGTATTTGCAGCAGTGAAACCTGTATCCTGAGTTTATTTTAAGGATTAGAAGTTCCATAATCCCTTGTGAGATGCAATTTATCACACATGAATATTTTGCTTCTCTTTTTGATGTATATCCATGGGCTGGTTTACCTAACCTGTGCTGTTGTACGAAATTCTATGGTTTTTCGGTTGTTTGGGTTGTGTCTTGGAGAATCTGTTGGTCAAGTTTGGAATTTCAAAGTGTCTTTTAGGAAGTTTAATTCTGACTGTTTACAGTGTAATAGTCTTGTCAAATGATTCAATAAGGATGTAAGTATTATAGTAGATTTTGAAGCAGTCACTTTTATAAATGTCTTGACTGGGTCCCTATCCGGCTCTTGACTTGAGGTCAGTTCAAGTACAAACCATTAGAGAGAGGGAAAGTTAGAATATAGGCATTGGTCTCGGAAAGCCCTCCCTAGGGACCGGGACTGGGACCAATCTGCCACATAGATCTATCAGAATGGTCTTATCCTGCCATGCAAGACTTTTCCATGACATTTTTCCTTCGTAAATAGCTGGAAAGATATTGTTAGTTGAAGTTTTATGTCTTTTGCAAGGTTTCATAAGATTATGGGAATGCCTACTAATTGTTGGACATATCCCAAGTGATATATGCTAGATAATGTATTGGACAGAAATTATAGAATTAGAAAAGTTGATGGCTTGAAATTGTATGCAAGCAAGGAAGATTAAATGGCTCTCTTCATTTCTTTTATGCTTTGATTGTTTCTACTTCTAGTATCATACCATGTTCATATGCCATCACAATCGAGACCACGGTCTTTTACTCACTGATAGTTATAAGGATTTACACTTTACTCTGTGTACTGACTTAATTAGGTAATTGAAAATATCGTTAATTCACCATTTCAGAATGAGTGATAGAAGATTGAGGTACAAGCTCAATTCAGCTTGCGTGGCTTGAAGTTCTAGTCATATTTCTGAGGTGGTGATGGGGAACCAAACTAGACTTTTAGGACTATTATTCACTTATCTGATATTTTCCATTTGATCATGTAGAATTTTTAGTTGTTCTCATCTAATCATTTGAGGACTTTGGTGTTTATTAGAAGCTCATTTTATTTTCTATCTAGTGGAGTTGATTTTTGTTTATGAGTTTAGGAATTCATATTCCTAATGGTTAGCGGGTGTTGTTTGGGTTCTTGGGGTTTTCTAAGAGACTGAGAGCTCTAATTCTATGCTTTAGATTGCCTTGTTAATGATTGAGAATTGATGTCAAGATTTTTTTTCTCCTCTCTCTACTACAATTCTTGTTGGTTTCTCCCCTTTCTCTTATTTTCTGCCCTTTCTTCTCTCCATCCTAATGTCCTTTTGGGTATCCTTTAACAATTTCCTTTTCTTGTAATTTTTGTTTGTAAAACTAATGTCGTACTTTAATTGCTCTCCAGTACTACTTGAAGACTGGAACTTGCAAGTTTGGGGCCACATGCAAGTTTCATCACCCTAGAGACAAGGCTGGGATTTCTGGAAGAGTGTCTTTAAATATTTTGGGTTATCCACTCCGACCGGTATGGGTCTTTTACTATTTAACTCAATTAAGTAATTATATATATATTTGTTACTTGATATATTTGATTGATCTTCTATCTCCTGTTCTATTCATTGTTGTTGATGATGCTCTGAATAGAACTGTATGTAAAGGCGTAGAGATGAATCTCGTGAAGGTTTTGCATGCTGGTATTTGTACTACTTTGACATTTAATTAAAAGTTTCCAAATTTTACTACCATTTTCCTGAATAATCATTAGGATAGTTGCTTCAATGTGTGTCCCCTGCCACCAATCTTTGAGAGAGTTTCTAGAATGGAGAATAACACATGCAAAAATGGTCAACGGGCATTCACTCGTTGTTGGACTCTCCCTTGATTTTATTTCTCTGATTGCTGTGTCATTTGAAGATGGCTTTAATCTCATTTAAGGTATCCTCCGCATCTTTGTTTTTGGATTCTGTGGTTGGAGAAATACTTAAACCATTGGATGAGTAGAAATTGCAGCATTTCATTTAAGAAGTGGCATTGAACTCATTCAAGCTTGTTGTTCTAGCATCACTGCTAATTACCTGTCCTAAGAGTTCCTATTGACCCTATGGGTAGAGAAATTGAAGATGGATTTCTTATGGTCAAATGGTGAGGTGCCAAAAGAGATTATTGGTAAGTTGGGACACTTCTAAGAAACCAACGGTAGGAGGGGACGTTTTAGCTTCAAGAAGGTTTATATGGTGAAGAAATGGTTATTGTCTATTCTTTCAGAACAGCATTCCTTTTGGCATGAGGTGATTTGGAGTAAATATGTCCTCCAGCTGAAAGGCTGGCTGCCAGGATTAGAAATAATGATACCATTCAAGCTCTTTGATTATTATTTCTTTCCTTCTTGAATAGCATGTAATGTGAATGCTGACGTCTTATTTGGTTCTGAAAAGTTTGCAAGGAGGATTGTTTTTTTTTAGCCATTCCATATCTATATTGTAGTTCCAGTCTTCACCATGCTTCCGTTTACAGTGCTCTTGTTTTGGAGAATTTTGACCTTTGATTTTCACTGATATTAAATAGGAGGTTTTGGTCTTTGGATGGCTTGCAAATAAGTCAAAGTTCTTTTCTGCTCTTCATGTTTGTCTCCTGAATCCTTGTCTTTAGCCATTCAAATTTGTAAAAGTTTGATACTCTCTAAGATCAATGTACTTGGGGTTGGAGGTATTTTTCTTAGGAGCTTTAGAGGAATTTCTTCACAGACATTTAGAGAGAATGGGGTGGTGTTTTTAATAGTGCCTCTTGTTATTGTGGAGGATCCCTTATTATCCATATTGTATTTCATTTTCTTTTCCATTTGATTACAACTTATTCTATTAAAGAAAAAATGATAATATTTTGACATTTTAATTTCATATCTTCGTGTTTGGTTGCTTTCTAGCTTCTTTTTTGTTTTCCCTTCATTTTGTGGACAGCAAAAGGCCAGCAATCACATTTTCACGTTTTATATCTTGAATAAGTTAGGACACATTATAGACATTCAATGATTATTACATAGAATATAATTGATGAGAAGTGCAAAATTTTGACAGAAGATCTAGATACAAGTTTGACATCTAATCCTTTTCAGCCCATTCAGTTGGGCCGGCTGTGCAAAAGCAAAAGTGGGAGGTAAATTGCTAGCTATTTGCAAGAGTAAAAAGAAACTAAGATGAGAAGAGTCTATAGATATGTGGAGAATAGCCAGAGAAATGTTTAGGAGAGCATGATATACTATTAGGCATCAATTTTCTTGAATTTACCTTTAAGAGTTCCAAATCTATTAAGCTCTGTGTTCCTTCCATTAGTTTTGTATTTTTGCACTATGTATGTCCAAGGGCTTTCTTGGAATGAATGGGACATATTTCATGTTGAAAACTGTTGGGTTCCTTTTACTAAGAGTAAAGGTTCAGCCTGTTTTAAGTTTCTCTCATTAAAATCTGCATTTTTTTTTTTTTTTTTGGTGGAAATAAATGATGTCTTTGTTCATTCATGGGATGTGGTCGCCTGCAAATTCATTTTCCCCCTCTTCTATATTGTACGTGTGCTTCCTAGGATGAATTGCACTGTTTTTAATATATCTCTGTTCTTTTATTTCCTGCAGAATGAGATCGAGTGTGCTTATTACTTAAGAACAGGACAGTGCAAATTTGGTAGCACTTGTAAATTTCACCATCCTCAACCAACTAATGTGATGGTTCCATTGCGTGGCTCTCCTGTTTACCCTACTGTCAATTCTCCAACTACCCCTGGTCAGCAATCCTATCCTGGAGGACTTGCAACAAACTGGTCAAGATCTTTTATTACCAGCCCACGCTGGCAAGCTCCTTCGAGTTATACACCTTTGATTCTACCTCAGGGGGTTGTATCTGTCCCTGGCTGGAATGCATACAGTGTAAGCTGCTCTGTCTTTTGTCAGAGAATGCATTTAAGAACATTTTTTTGGTTAATTCAGAGGCCATTGTGCTTGGACCACACAATGAGGGTGGCTCTACCCTCCCGCAATCTCTCTAATCCTTGGCATGGACTGGTTTTTATCCTCGGTGACCTAGGCTAGGTCAATTGGTATGCTGCCCAATGATTTTGCCTCGCTTTTAATATTATGGAATTTGGTCCCTTTTCTTCAAAAACTTTTAAATTTGATGCGTAAAATTTTCATTCTATCCCTAAAGGTTTTTCCTAAACATATTTTAACCCCTTAAGATGGAAACTTTTTACCTTTCTTAAAAGATGATATATCTGATTCTATTCTTCCAAAAATTATAGTTTCATCCATGAGAAGGAAAATTTTGTTTCTTTCATTCCTAAGTGAGATACTTCTTAGCATGTTTAGGTGCTTTTTTTCCTACCCTATAACAACAACAAAGCCTCAATCCCAAACCAGTTGGGGTCGGCCTTATGGATCTTCCTGTGCCATTTAGCTTGATCATAAACCAATTCTACAACAATATCATATAAAATTTATTCGCCCCCCAAGTCATACATCTTGGATCATCCTCTGTTTCCTCTAAATAAATATTGTTGACTTCATTAGCCTGTCTTTCGCATATGTCAAAAGGGTTCTTCTATCATGTTATGTAGTTGTTGATATTGCACAGGTTGTGCATTTATTTCTTTTTGGTACTTGATTTTCTTTTCCTTTTCTTTTCATACACTAAATTTGTTCAACCCTCTGTACAATTTGCTAGTTGTATATAAATAGTGATTAGCAAGCTTAGCTTTCAATTATGATTGAAATAATCTTTTTGTAGCTTTATACAGATATTTTCTTTGTTTTGCTGAAAATTTTGGTAATTTTATTTTCTGGGCCCAAATGCCATTCAACCTTTTGGCAAGTAAGATTTGGCTCCCCATAATTACACTAGGGAATGAGTCCGGAGCTGAAGCATAGTCAAATTTGATTGGATATGGCTGGTGATGATGGCTGCATTGCTAGTGATGGTGGTGATGGAGTGAAGCTTATTTGGGGGTAAAAGGTGCTGGTGTTTGTTTTGGGGTAATGGTGATCTTGGACTTGGAGGTGGGTGTTTTTGGTAATTTGAATGATAGATGTTGTGACAGTTGCTGAAAACTATAGGAAAGTTGGTTTGAGTGACATGTCAATATTTCATGTGCATGGGGGGCACTTAGGTCATTCATGAGAGCACCATGCCTGCAACCTCACTTTTTTTCCTGAAAGTTATTATATTCTTAATATCAGTCCTTATAATATTCTAATTTGGCTCCTCCAAAACTTATTGAATTTTCTCTTTTAGTCCTATTATATCTGACTCTCCACCCCACCAACAATTTCCCAAAAATTTTTACTTAGGCTCCAGAACTGCTTGTGCAATTAATTTGTGTTATTTTGGAGACGTCTAGCAGTCTGCTATGTTTTCAGAATGGAAAAGGCACACAATTTTTCTGTTTCAAGAGGAAATCTTGCCAATTGGATTTTAATGTATGGCATAATCCAATTTCGGGATTACAAATTGCAGGGAAGTTTCTAAAATATCCAGCCATAGCTGCGAATGCATGAAAGTGTCGATTTCCAAAGACCAAACAATAAAATGACAAAGTTAATGTTTCCACAGAAGTGTCATTTGAACTTAAGCTTATTTGGCTAGTTTTGTCCTCTGAAAATTTTGGGACCTGTGTGTGGAGTTGAAACAGACCTGCAAATACACCATCCTGTTCTCTAAGGTTGGGTTGTGTTCAATCCAGACGTTTCTAATGTAATTTTTGGCTGTGATCCAACGAATGAATTGGTCGTAGGCTCTGACATTGTTTACAACTGCATCGAAGGCGTAATGAAATTTACTCAATGCTCTTTTGTTTTGCATTTTATATTTACTTGCTAAGTTTTCTGCATGCATTAGTTGAGAATCAAGAAATGTGACATACTTGGACAATTTTCCAGGGTCAGCTTGGGTCAGTATCATCTCCAGAGAGTCAGCAACAAACAGGAAACAGTCAGATATATGGAACCTCACGCCAGAGTGAATCAGTTAATGCAGGATCTCAAGGGACATTTTCTCCATACCGGTCTGGCTCTGTACCCTTAGGATTTTATGCCTTGCAAAGAGAGAGTGTTTTCCCTGAGAGACCTGGTCAGCCTGAATGCCAGTTTTACATGAAGACTGGAGACTGTAAGTTTGGTGCAGTTTGTAGATTCCACCATCCAAGGGAGAGGCTAATTCCTGCTCCAGACTGTGTCTTGAGTCCAATAGGGCTGCCTTTACGTCCGGTGAGTTCAGTTTCATCATCCCTTTTTTCCTTCCATCTAATTATCCCCATTTAGTTTATGTGAATTTCACTTACCAAAACCTTAGCTTAGGATGAGGAAAACTAAGTTTCAAATCCAGGTTTGTAGGTAGTCGTACCTATAAGGAAGATTGAGTCTCACATTCGCAACAAAATTGCAGGAAATTTTTATTTTTTACTCTGAATCTTTATTGAACAAACCTCAATAAAGAAACACTTATTAAGAAAATGACAGCAATCCTATTTATAATAGGAAAACCATAATAAAGTTAATTACTTTAGGACTAATAAATGCTAAATAAAAATAAAACCTACAGCTATAATATTCCAAATTTTCCAGCAAACCCGAAAATTATTAAAATACCTCTGCATTCTAAGATTTAAATAAAACCACATTAATTCTGTGCTTCTGTTGCATGCATCTCAAAAACAAATGGTAACGAATCAAATTCTTTTATCAAGATACAGTTTTAAGTGATTATGGATGTCATTACTAAAATGCCTCATGATCAACAACTGGTTTTATGATCCTACTACAAATCTTCTTTGCCTATATTAAAAATAATAAATATGGGTGTTAGTACTAATATTAAAAAATAGAACAGTAATTTCTTATGTCAACACAGAGAATTATGAAGTGCAAAATGTACTCTAGCCTCTAATTCTTATCAAAAGGAATGATCTAGAAGACTGGAATTACACCTTTAATAATGCCTATCAGTATACCAGTGGCATACAATAGATGTAACGAAAATAGGAAAAAGGAAAATAAAAAAGAGGATTTTGAATTTTGGGTATTTTCAGGGGATTCAAGTCTGCATGATGACCTATCTGATGGAATGGGATCTGTCTTCAAGTGAGAGTGCTTTCTCTAATTAATTCTCTTTTTCTATGTGAAAAAGCAATGTATACATGGGTCACTGGAAATCCTAATTAATTAGTTACTAAGGAATCTTTAAAATATGGCTAATATATATATATAAACACCTATTTTTAATAAATTATGTTCTCCGTCTAACATTTATTTAAACTTTTGTTTATACAAGCACAACAAATCAACAAAATCAAGCCTGTTTTCTGTTCAAACATGCTTGGAAGATCTGTGCTTATGCTGATTTCTTACTTCATAATTCTTGTCGGAGCTGATGTCTTGTTTATGACAGGGAGAACCTTTGTGCATCTTTTACTCTCGTTATGGCATCTGCAAGTTTGGTCCAAGTTGCAAGTTTGACCACCCTATGGGAATTTTCACATACAATCTCACAGCATCATCTTCAGCTGATGCTCCAGTTCGACGGTTATTGGGGTCCTCATCAGGATCCGCCGCATTAAATTTGTCATCAGAAGGGCTTGTTGAAGCAGGCCCGACGAAGCCAAGGCGACTTTCACTATCAGAGCCTAGACAAATGCCCCCTGGCGATGATAACATTGACACAGGAGGATGAACAGTGTCTAGTGCCTCAAGATATCGTCCAGTTACTTTTTACAATCTTTTGGACGGTTAAGGAAAAAAAAAAATGAAAAAAGCCTCGTCTGTAAATTCATTTCCCATTGCTGGAGATGTACAGAGTTCATGCCAAGTTGACAATGCAATTCAGCTGACAGACTTGACTCTAAATTTCATATTGCAGCATTGTATAAAAATATGCAAATATTGTCACATTTGGTAAAACCCAATGTGAACATTTCATCTGTCAGATTCTCATTTTCTGATTTTGTTATTCAGTGGTTCCTTTCAGTTTGTTACATAAAGCATTTCTTTTGCAAGTTATGTATGTGGTCGCTCTGAGTCTGACTTCGGAATATTTTCAATGTGGTTTAGTCAAAAGTTTTCTTCTGTACATAACCATCAATTTTAAAATTTTATATAAACTAAACCCACTATTTCTCCTCAATGTTTTCATTTATTGGCCGAAAAAGTTTCTATAATATCAATTTGGTCAATTGAATGTATTTTCAATTTTAACTAGTTGAATATACTTCTAAAATTTGAAAATTTATCTAGACCGAGTGAGTATTTTTTTTCGATTTGTTAATATTATTATTATTTCATTTCCATTAGTGTCATTACCTATGTCACCCTCTCTATCAAGTAATTTATTTATTTATTTATTGAGACATTGTATTTAGTTGATTGAAATAAAGAATACAAGTGGTCAATTAATCGAATTGATAGTAAGTGATAAGAGGTTGTTTTTGATGAATTGATAAAAACACAAGGTGCAAATAATGTGTGTAACCCTTTATATATGCTCAATTTATCTATAAAAATTAATTAAGAATTTAGTTAATTTTATTATGAACTAATGCATGTTATTTTTTATTTTTTTTCATGCACGAGTTCAAACTACAAATGGATTGAATTGAGGATGAACCTCTCTCAATACGAGGCTTTGGTCCGTGTAAGAATGGACAGATATTTTAACGGAACTAGTATTGATGTCTTGTCATGATAATGCATTAAGGAGATTGAATTGATGGGTTCCGGTATGGCCACCTGTCTACTCTTTTTTTCATACCTCTTACTACTTTCATCCATTCTACTTTATTGGTCGAGCGTTATTGCTATAAAGTCAAAACATTATTGACTTGTCATTTGAACAATTTTCAAGAACTCCATATATTTTGATGATTCCACTAAGAAATTAGTGGTTTTGAAAGAATAATGGGTCTTTCCAAGATCACTACTAATTTCGCATCCAAATCAACTACACACAAAAATGATACCCTATTTGATTTTAATAACAATGCCGACAATGTTAATGCTCAGCATGAAGAATGACAAAAATCCTCAAACCACCAAGTTAGGAGTGAAAACTTGCTAGGAGATCAACTATCTCAACATGTTACGCGAGCCTTTGCCATTATTGTTACACATTCAAGCCTTTAGGGCATGATCGAAGTCCTAAAGATTTTATAAAATACTTAGCTCAAACTATAGCAAGAACAATAATAGGTCTTCAACGTTCTATAGGACAATAATGTTGTATTTGCCCAACCTCTTAGCAACATCACTCGACTACTTTTTGCGGAGTGGACTTAACGAGATGACTATCTCTCAAACTATGATGCCATCAACTATTAATGTAAAAATTAACTTAATGCCATCTCGTTTAACTAAATGATAAGGAAAACATTGCCTTACAAAAATACCCACTATACGGTTATGCACAAAAACCAACTACTTCATCATGCTACTACTTTTAATGATCAACGCCATTATGTTACTAAGGAGGACTTAAAGTTGGCAAAATATATGAACTAGTTTAATCTCAAACTTTCTTATCCAACCCATATAGCCATGAGGCCTTATTCGAAAGACTATATGAGTCCTAAGTTTGAAGTTCTTAATGAAAATAAGGAGATGCCAAAGAGTATCTCATAAAGTTCGTCGAGACCTTAGGTGTTTACGACTTAGATGATGATTTGAAGTTGAACGAATTTTTTAAGTCTTTGATCGAGAAAGCATACATCTTATTGTAATCCAATTTCAACCCCTTTATTATTTTAAAATAAATAAAATCACAAATTTTCAAATTAAACATTTTTATTTATCGATTTTTTTTTCAAAATTTAAGCCTTTCTTTACAATTTTTATGTTTTTTTATTATTTTCATAAGTCTCGAGTGAGAATAACTAAGCATAAAAAAATGAGCAAAAAGAAAAGAATCAATGCATAAAAAATTAAAAAAGAAAATGAGTAAAAAAATGAATTAAAAAAATAGAGGAGAAAATCAATAAAAAGAGAAAAAAAATCGTAAAAGCTATCCTAATCAAGTTTAATTTTGTTTAATCCTATTTTTAGGATTACTCTAATCCAACTTTGGGATAAAGAACCTCTAACCAAGTTAAACTTAATTAATCTAGAGGGGATGAACCTAGACTAAATAGTGTCTAGGTACCTATCTCTACCTAAGATATAAATAAAATAAGATAAAAAGAGTCAAAGAGGGGTCAATTGTAAAGAAAAAACTAGTAATATAAAAAAAAAGAAAAAAATATGAGGGTATTTTGGTCATTTTTGTTACCATTTAGGTTAATTTCTGACTACTTGTAATTTTTTTTTTAATTATTGAATGAAATGTGATATATTTTTATGGATTAAAGTATTGTGATATGTCGCTGTATATCAAACTCGAAGGATTCGATACCATAAAGAATATTGAGATAAAATAAGGATGGATTCAATACTCGCAATGAAGTTGGGAGAATGAAAATGAGATTTTATTTTTGAATAATCCAAGACAAGTGTCGGTCCTTGTGCTTTTGCTTAGGGTTCATGTTTTCCATGTACTTAAAATTAATCACTCAAGATGGGGTTATCAATTAACATTAACTAAGGGTGTAATGGAGTTCTAAATCTCACCAAAACCATCTAAAGTTATTTAGTTAAGGTTATAATGGAGTTTTAAATCTTGCCTAAATAAATTAAAACTAGGATTACTAACTACATAAAAAGTTTTGGCCTTAGCCAATTATTAGGGTTGAAAATTTTCATCCTTCAACAACTTATGTGTATAAAGGTTTCGATTCTTTGAACTTGTGAGTGTAAGTTTCAACAATCATTAAACAAAGAGGTTGGTTGATTATGCTTAAACCTAAATCATCATAAAATTGATGTCAACTTAGTATCGAGCTTTGGTTTGCTTTTCCGGTGTATTCTTGGCAACATTTATGAAGGTGCCTCTAAGAAAATAACAAAATCTAATGTCCATGGGAGATTGGTAATGTGACCATGTGTATTTACGAAAAAGACTTGAGGAGACCTTTGTTCTATCGAATTTAGAATCCTTTAAAGGAACAAGGAATTCAAGGTATTCTTATGAAATTAATGGATGAAAAGAAGTTCCAATCTTTATAGAGTTAGGCTGAAACTTTTTATGGATGAAAAACCTTAGTTTTCGATATATCTTGGTGAAGTTAATGACAAACCCACTATAATCCACTAAGTTTTTTAATGCTAGATTATCTTAATAAGATTGATAAACCCGTTATACCTTTAGGTTGATTAAAGCACCTAACCGGGTTGGTCGAGTCAAAGATGGAGAAAACAAACCCTAAGCAATGCACAAGGATTCAAGCATTTAGAAAAAAAAAAAAACTTCTAAGTATTTTATTAATTTTCAAAGCATGAAAGTTATTATCTCTCTATAAGCATTAAGCTCATATTTATACTAGTCATAAGGCCGGTCATATAAGGGTAATTTCTCTTTGTAAAATTTGACTTATACAAGATAAGGATAAGACCAAAGAAACTTATCTCACATGGACTAGAAACTCTAATCTCACTTACTTTAATGACTCTTTAATTCTACTCTTATCTAATTTAATTAAAAAAAAATTCCAATTCTACTTGGACTCATTGTTACACTCAAATCCTAAAAATCTCACTTGTTCTAATATGAGATAATGTTACAAGATAATACTAACCTTATCTTAACAAGATCAATTTTGCCTTTTGTGAAAAAAAAAACCCCTTGATCCATTTGTGCATTATCTTAAGATTTACTTAAATATCCCGAATCGCACTCCATATCAAATAGTGATGGAAATGATATTGTCATCAATGGTGATCTCATTGAAAAGGTAGAAGTTGAGTGCTAAGATATCATAGGAATTGCTAAAAAAATAAATTATTGATTTAGTCTATGTTGATTCTTTTGATTACAAGTCTACTATTATCATAAGATAGAATTATTTAAGGATAATATAGATATAACACATATTGATGAAAGAAGTTTAAGATTTATAATTCATTACTTCAAAAGTCAATAGAAGAGAAATAAGTTGCCAATTGGTTTTTTTTTTTTATAAAAATTTAATGAGAAATTGATGCTCATATCTAGAATTGCTATATACTTGAAGTGAAGAAAGAAAAGAGCTAGAGAATTTTATTGGACATAAAGAAGATCAAGGCAATAATGCTTTAAATCGAGGACGAGTTTGAAGTCAACTTGGAGTGCTTGACACGAAAGTGTGGCCCATTCTAACTAGGTCGAATATTTACTCCTTATTTAGCCGAATATTCTAGCTTTAATTATTTTCAAATAAAATATTTTAGTTATTTATTTATTTTCCTTATTTGTTTATTTTAGATATTTTATTATCATAAGGAGTCTTATTTATGTTGAATTTTATTTTAGAGGTCATATTTGTTGGAATTTGACTTGATTAAGCCTTTGTTTAGTTTGGATTGAATTAAAGTTATTGAGTCCAAATAAGTTTTAGTATTAATTTTCTAGTTAGCTGAATTTTTATACTTCATTATTTAAACATCTTTTATGTAATATGGAGAAACATGAAGGAAAACATCATATGGAGAAGCGGAATAAACAACAACTTTTTTTCTCTAATTTAAAATCCAAGATCATTGTTGAATCAAATAATTATAATAAGAAGTTTGGATCATTACCTTTTGAAGTGAAGTCATAAGGTTGTAGATTGA